TATATATATATATATATATATATATATATATATATATATATGAATGGATGCATCATTGCCACACATAAGCAAATACACACCCATATATATATATAAATATATATATATATATATATATATATATATATATATATATACCTATATATATATATTTTTTTTATGAAATAAAGCATGACATGTAGTCCCTAATTATAAATCATAAACAATTTGATTTTAACCGTTCTAGTCAACCTAGCGATTTGTTAAAAATAATTCAATATTCAGTGTGTGCTTTTGTTTATTGTTTATTGTTTATGGTGACATATAATATTGTATTTAATGGTGGTCTAGGTTGACTGCAGCCCTTAAAGTCAAATTGTTTATAGTTCAGAATTTCGGACCACATTTCATGTACCAAGTGCTTTCTATTATACATATATATACTGGTATATATGTATATATGTATATATATATATACTGGTATATATATATATATATATATATATATATATACAGACAAACTCACATACATACTCACACACACACGTGTTACTTTAGAAAAGTCTACTTACCTTTTGGCTCTGTGGTTATTTCTTCCGTCGATGTTGCGGATAATGATGCTTTAGTTGATTCTCCTGTTGCTGTTGAATCTGTTGTTTTCACTGCCGAGGCTTCTTGTTCAGTTATTTCTGTTGATTCAGTTATCATTTCTGTCAAGCTTGTGGGCTCAGTTGTGGCAGTGGATTTGTTTATCTCTGACGAGGTTGCACGTTCGGTTGTAGTTGTAGACAAAGTCATAGGCTCAGTTGTTAATGTTGGTTCAATCGCTCTCTCGGTCGATGTTGTAGACTTAACTGTAGTTGTGTCAGTCGTCCTCTCGGTCGAGATTGTAGACTTAGGTGTTGCTGATTTTTCTGTGATCACTGTGGAGAGTTTAGCTTCAGTCATCCGTTCTGTCCAGGTTGTAGGTTTAGTGGTAGCTGCTGATTCAGTCTCCCTCTTTGTTATAAGTTCAGTAGTAGTTGTTTCAGTTATTCTGTCTGTCGAAATTGTAGATTCAATTGTAGCTGTTGCCCTCTCCGTCCAAATTGTTGGTTCATTTGTAACTGTTTCACTTGTAGTTTCTGGTGAGGTTGTAGGTTCAACTGTATTTCTTTCAGTCGTACTCTCTGCCAAGACAGTAGTTTCAGTTCCAGTAGATGATTCAATTATCCTCTCTGTCGAGGTTGTAGGTTCAGTTCTAGCTGTTGATTCAATCATATCTGTGGAGACTAAGGATACAGTAGATGTTGATTCAGCCGTCCTCTGATCAGTTTTTACTGTTGATTCCGTTATACTTTGCGTCGAGTTTAAAGACTCAGATGTGGTTGTAGATTTAGTTATCTCTAACAAGGTTGTACCTTCTATAGTAGTTGTAGACAAAGTCGTAGGCTCAGTTGTTAATGCTGATTCGAGCGCCTTCTCTGTTGATATTGTATGCTCACCCATAGCTGTTTCGGTCTTCTCTGTTGAGATTGTAGATTCAGGGGTTGCTGTTAATTCTGTGGGCACTGTGGAAGTTGTAACGCTGCTTGTACCTGCTTCAGTCATCCTTTCTACCGAGGTTGTAGGTTCTGCCTTTCCAGTAATTTTCTCTGTTGAAATCTCTGTTATGATTTTAGATCCAGTTGTAGTTATTTCAGTCTTTCTCTCTGTTGAAATTGTAGCTGTTGATTCAGTTGCACTCTCTGTAGATGATGAAGATTCATTTGTTGCTGATACACGTGTCGTCTCTAGTGAGATTGTAGGTACAGTTGTAATTGTTTCAATTGTACTCTCAGTCAAGACTTCATTAGTTGCAGCTGATGATTCAGCTGTACTCTCTGTCGAGGTTGTAGGTTCAGTGGTAGATGTAGAATCAGTTGCCCTTTTGGTTGATATTAAAAATTCCGTTGATACTGTTTCGGTTAAGATTATAGGTTTATTTGTAACTCTTGTCGCATCTATTGAGGTTGCAGGTTCAGCTGTAACTGCTTCAGTCGTACTTTCTGTCAAATCAGTGGATTTAGTTGTAGGCCATGGTTTACTAGTCCTCTCTATGGAGACTGAAGAAGATTCAGTAGGGAATATAAGTTCAGTTTCGTCTGCTGATTTAGTTGTTCTCTCTGTAAGTTTAGTAACTGATGTTAATTCGGTTTTTAGCTTTGTCGAACTTGTAAGTTCATTAGTTCTTATTGTGGATGCTGTAGGTTCCGTTGCAGTTGTTTCGCCTGTGCTCTCTGTTAAGGTTGTATATGCTGCATTTGTTTTCTCTGTTGAAGTTGTAGATTCTCTTGTTTTCTCTGTTGAAGTTGCAGGTATTGATGATTTTGATTCCATTATACTCGTCACTGTGACTGTGGGCTCTGTTGCATTTATATAGATTTAGTAATGTGACTATTCGATTTGATAATAAATATACACAGATTGCACAGTCATTCCAGATGTTGTAGTCTCGAGACACGTATGTGATAAAAGTTCTTTTAACAATCGATCAAGTTATTTTCTACTTTATCATATTACAAATAATGCCGGCAGTGACTTCATTTTGTAGAAAGCAAGAAGGTAATATAGGCAATAGAAAGCTTTTACTTGTCATTTATCACTAACCCATAAACTGCATCATTGAGAATCCTAACCCAGTCAATTCCTGCTATGAAAAAAATCAGCAAACATTTAGAATTAATATGGGGGGAGGTGTGGGAGGCACGTTGTGTGTACAGGCAATCAACAACGAACATACTAAAGTCCTATTCATAACACATAAGTTTTCCCACTCACAAACTCATTCATCCCTGCGCTTAACTTGTATGACTATTATCATGTGAATAGAGTATAATAGAAGTATTGTTCCCTATATAGAAATAAGGAGTGCATTTGAAATATTACAAGACTAACTCGTCCATGTCTAGTCGAAAAGTGCAGACCCGCACTTACCTAATTCTCTGGCGAATTAGTGCGACTAGAATATTCTCTATTTTAACAGGTAATGTCTTGCATTACTTTCTCGTCGAAAATAGACATTTTGCTTTAGGTGAAGGGCCGATCCCTAGCTCTTTGCCATCGTTATGGTTTTCGTATCGATGCGGCCGTCGCAAGATACAACAGACAATGAAATACTTGTAATTTATTTATTTTCTCTAGTGGAGCAAGAAAATAGTAACGTATTAAAAGTATACATTCTTCGTATTAAATAACAGATGTTTAGCCTGTGATTGTTTCATAAATTAACTGAAAAAAAGGAAATTGTACACGATGTAGAGAAAATATTAAAAATAACAGCAACAGATACAAAATGCGGATGAGAAGAAAGAGAACATATAAACATTCCTACTAGGCGCTAATCACTCTCTCTCTATATATATATACACGCATATATATGCGTATATTTGTGTGTATGCTTATATAACCGTACACACACACACATATATAGTATATATACATATTTATGTAAATATATACATATATATATATATATATATATATATATATATATATATATATATATGTCTGTGTGTGTCTGTGTGTACATTTATATTTATGTACGCGTATATATACGTGCATATATACATTTATATATACTGTGTATATATAGGTATATATATTAATATATTCATATATATATATATATATATATATATATATATATATATGCATATATATATATATATATATATATATATATATATATATATATATAGTATACATATATACATATATATGAATATATATAGTGCATACATATATAAGTATTTATATATTTAAAATATATAACTGCAACTGTGTGTGTGGGTATGTATATATATATGAATGGATACATCACTGCCACACATAAGCACATACACACACACACACACACACACACACATATATATATATATATATATATATATATATATAATGTAATAGAAAGCATAAAATGTAGTCCCAAATTATAAATTATTAACAATTATAAAAATTTGATTTTAAGGGCTCTAGTCAACCTAGAGGACTTTTAAATACAAAGTAATATACAGTGTGTGCTTTTGTTTATTGCTTATCGTAACATGAAATTCCATTTAACGGTGAATGGCTACATCATGCCACATATAAGCGCATACGCACACACACATATATATATTATGTAATAGAAAGCATGAAATGTAGTCCCAAATTATAAATCATAAACAATTATAAATAATTTAATTTCAGGGGCTCTAGTCAACCTAGGGCACGCTTAAATACAATGTAATATACAATGTGTTGCTTTTGTTTATTGCTTATGGTGACATATGACATTACATTTAACGGTGGTGTAGGTTGACTAGAGTCCTTAAAATCAAGTTGTTTATAATTTATAATTTGGGACCACATTCCATGCACCAAGTGTTTTCTATTATATGTATACTGGTATATATATATATATATATATATATATATATATATATATATATATATATGTGTGTGTGTGTGTGTGTGTGTGTGTGTGTGTGTGTGGATATATACTGGTATTTATATATAAACATAAAGACACACACACGCACACTCACATACATACTCACACACACACGTGTTACTTTAGACAAGTCTACTTACCTTTTGGCTCTGTGGTCATTTCTTCCGTCGATGTTGCGGATAATAATGCTTTAGTTGATTCTCCTGTTGCCGTTGAATCTGTTGTTTTCACTGCCGAGGCTTCTTGTTCAGTTGTTTCTGTTGATTCAGTTATCCTTTCTGTCAAGCTTGTAGGTTCAGCTGTGGCAGAGGATTTGCTTATCTCTGACGAGGTTGCACGTTTGGTTGTAGTTGTAGACAAAGTCATAGGCTCAGCTGTAAATGTTGATTCAATCGCTCTCTCGGTCGATGTTGTAGACTTAACTGTAGCTGTGTCAGTCGTCCTCTCGGTCGAGATTGTAGACTCAGGTATTGCTGATTTTTCTGTGATCATTGTGGAGAGTTTAGCTTCAGTCATCCTTTCTGTTGAGGTTGTAGGTTTAGTGGTAGCTGCTGATTCAGTCTCCCTCTTTGTTATAAGTTCAGTAGTAGTTGTTTCAGTTATTCTGTCTGTCGAAATTGTAGATTCAATTGTAGTTGTTGCCCTCTCCGTCCAAGTTGTTGGTTCATTTGTAACTGTTTCACTTGTAGTTTCTGGTGAGGTTGTAGGTTCAACTGTATTTCTTTCAGTCGTACTCTCTACCAAGACAGCAGTTTCAGTTCCAGTAGATGATTCAATTATCCTCCCTGTCGAGGTTCTAGGTTCAGTTCTAGCTGTTGATTCAATCATATCTGTGGAGACTGAGGATACAGTAGATGTTGATTCAGCTGTCCTCTGATCAGTTTTTACTGTTGATTCCGTTATACTTTGCGTCGAGTTTAAAGACTCAGATGTGGTTGTGGATTTAGTTATCTCTAACAAGGTTGTACCTTCTATAGTAGTTGTAGACAAAGTCGTAGGCTCAGTTGTTAATGCTGATTCGAGCGCCTTCTCTGTTGATATTGTATGCTCACCCATAGCTGTTTCGGTCTTCTCTGTTGAGATTGTAGATTCAGGGGTTGCTGTTAATTCTGTGGGCACTGTGGAAGTTGTAACATCACTTGTACCTGCTTCTGTCATCCTTTCTACCGAGGTAGTAGGTTCTGCCTTTCCAGTAATTTTCTCTGTTGAAATCTCTGTTATGGTTTTAGATCCAGTTGTAGTTATTTCAGTCTTTCTCTCTGTTGAAATTGTAGCTGTTGATTCAGTTGCGCTCTCTGTAAATGATGAAGATTCATTTGTTGCTGATACACGTGTCGTCTCTAGTGAGATTGTAGGTTCAGCTGTAATTGTTTCAATTGTACTCTCAGTCAAGACTTCATTAGTTGCAGCTGATGATTTAGCTGTCCTCTCTGTCGAGGTTGTAGGTTCAGTGGTAGATGTAGAATCAGTTACCCTTTTGGTCGATATTAAAAATTCAGTTGATACTGTTTCGGTTGAGATTATAGGTTTATTTGTAACTCTTGTCGCATCTATCGAGGTTGCAGTTTCAGCTGTAACTGCTTCAGTCGTACTTTCTGTCAAGTCAGTAGATTTAGTTGTAGGCCATGGTTTACTAGTCCTCTCTGTGGAGACTAAAGAAGATTCAGTAGGGAATGTAAGTTCCTCTGTTGATTTAGTTGTTCCCTCTGTAAGTTCAGTAACTGATGATAATTCGGTTTTTAGCTTTGTCGAACTTGTAAGTTCATTAGTTCTTATTGTGGATGCTGTAGGTTCCGTTGCAGTCGTTTCGCCTGTGCTCTCTGTTAAGGTTGTATATGCTGCATTTGTTTTCTCTGTTGAAGTTGTAGATTCTCTTGTTTTCTCTGTTGAAGTTGCAGGTATTGATGATTTTGATTCCATTATACTCGTCACTGTGACTGTGGGCTCTGTTGCATTTATATAGATTTAGTAATGTGACTATTCGATTTAATAATAAATATACACAGATTGCACAGTCATTCCAGATGTTGTAGTCTCGAGACACGTATGTGATAAAAGTTCTTTTAACAATCGATCAAGTTATTTTCTACTTTATCATATTACAATGCCGGCAGTGACTTCATTTTGTAGAAAGCAAGAAGGTAATATAGGCAATAGAAAGCTTTTACTTGTCATTTATCACTAACCCATAAACTGCATCATTGAGAATCCTAACCCAGTCAATTCCTGCTATGAAAAAAATCAGCAAACATTTAGAATTAATATGGGGGGAGGTGTGGGAGGCACGTTGTGTGTACAGGCAATCAACAACGAACATACTAAAGTCCTATTCATAACACATAAGTTTTCCCACTCACAAACTCATTCATCCCTGCGCTTAACTTGTATGACTATTATCATGTGAATAGAGTATAATTGAAGTATTGTTCCCTATATAGAAATAAGGAGTGCATTTGAAATATTACAAGACTAACTCGTCCATGTCTAGTCGAAAAGTGCAGACCCGCATTTACCTAATTCTCTGGCGAATTAGTGCGACTAGAATATTCTCTATTTTAACAGGTAATGTCTTGCATTACTTTCTCGTCGAAAATAGACATTTTGCTTTAGGTGAAGGGCCGATCCCTAGCTCTTTGCCATCGTTATGGTTTTCGTATCGATGCGGCCGTCGCAAGATACAACAGACAATGAAATACTTGTAATTTATTTATTTTCTCTAGTGGAGCAAGAAAATAGTAACGTATTAAAAGTATACATTCTTCGTATTAAATAACAGATGTTTAGCCTGTGATTGTTTTATAAATTAACTGAAAAAAAGGAAATTGTACACGATGTAGAGAAAATATTAAAAATAACAGCAACAGATACAAAATGCGGATGAGAAGAAAGAGAACATATAAACATTCCTACTAGGCGCTAATCACTCTCTCTCTATATATATATACAAGCATATATATGCGTATATTTGTGTGTATGCTTATATAACCGTACACACACACACATATATAGTATATATACATATTTATGTAAATATATACATATATATATATATATATATATATATATATATATATATATATATATGTCTGTGTGTGTCTGTGTGTACATTTATATTTATGTACGCGTATATATACGTGCATATATACATTTATATATACTGTGTATATATAGGTATATATATTAATATATTCATATATATATTTATATATATATATATATATATATATATATATATATATATATATATATATGCATATATATATATATATATATATATATATATATATATAGTATACATATATACATATATATGAATATATATAGTGCATACATATATAAGTATTTATATATTTAAAATATATAACTGCAACTGTGTGTGTGGGTATGTATATATATATGAATGGATACATCACTGCCACACATAAGCACATACACACACACACACACACACACACACATATATATATATATATATATATATATATATATATATATATATATATATATATAATGTAATAGAAAGCATAAAATGTAGTCCCAAATTATAAATTATTAACAATTATAAAAATTTGATTTTAAGGGCTCTAGTCAACCTAGAGGACTTTTAAATACAAAGTAATATACAGTGTGTGCTTTTGTTTATTGCTTATCGTAACATGAAATTCCATTTAACGGTGAATGGCTACATCATGCCACATATAAGCGCATACGCGCACACATATATATATTATGTAATAGAAAGCATGAAATATAGTCCCAAATTATAAATCATAAACAATTATAAATAATTTAATTTCAGGGGCTCTAGTCAATCTAGGGCACGCTTAAATACAATGTAATATACAATGTGTTGTTTTTGTTTATTGCTTATGGTGACATATGACATTACATTTAACGGTGGTGTAGGTTGACTAGAGTCCTTAAAATCAAGTTGTTTATAATTTATAATTTGGGACCACATTCCATGCACCAAGTGTTTTCTATTATATGTATACTGGTATATATATATATATATATATATATATATATATATATATATATATATATATATGTGTGTGTGTGTGTGTGTGTGTGTGTGGATATATACTGGTATTTATATATAAACATAAAGACACACACACGCACACTCACATACATACTCACACACACACGTGTTACTTTAGACAAGTCTACTTACCTTTTGGCTCTGTGGTCATTTCTTCCGTCGATGTTGCGGATAATAATGCTTTAGTTGATTCTCCTGTTGCCGTTGAATCTGTTGTTTTCACTGCCGAGGCTTCTTGTTCAGTTGTTTCTGTTGATTCAGTTATCCTTTCTGTCAAGCTTGTAGGTTCAGCTGTGGCAGAGGATTTGCTTATCTCTGACGAGGTTGCACGTTTGGTTGTAGTTGTAGACAAAGTCATAGGCTCAGCTGTAAATGTTGATTCAATCGCTCTCTCGGTCGATGTTGTAGACTTAACTGTAGCTGTGTCAGTCGTCCTCTCGGTCGAGATTGTAGACTCAGGTATTGCTGATTTTTCTGTGATCATTGTGGAGAGTTTAGCTTCAGTCATCCTTTCTGTTGAGGTTGTAGGTTTAGTGGTAGCTGCTGATTCAGTCTCCCTCTTTGTTATAAGTTCAGTAGTAGTTGTTTCAGTCGTTCTCTCTGTCGAAATTGTAGATTCAATTGTAGTTGTTGCCCTCTCCGTCCAAGTTGTTGGTTCATTTGTAACTGTTTCACTTGTAGTTTCTGGTGAGGTTGTAGGTTCAACTGTATTTCTTTCAGTCGTACTCTCTACCAAGACAGCAGTTTCAGTTCCAGTAGATGATTCAATTATCCTCCCTGTCGAGGTTCTAGGTTCAGTTCTAGCTGTTGATTCAATCATATCTGTGGAGACTGAGGATACAGTAGATGTTGATTCAGCTGTCCTCTGATCATTTTTTACTGTTGATTCCGTTATACTTTGCGTCGAGTTTAAAGACTCAGATGTGATTGTGGATTTAGTTATCTCTAACAAGATTGTACCTTCTATAGTAGTTGTAGACAAAGTCGTAGGCTCAGTTGTTAATGCTGATTCGAGCGCCTTCTCTGTTGATATTGTATGCTCACCCATAGCTGTTTCGGTCTTCTCTGTTGAGATTGTAGATTCAGGGGTTGCTGTTAATTCTGTGGGCACTGTGGAAGTTGTAACGTCACTTGTACCTGCTTCTGTCATCCTTTCTACCGAGGTTGTAGGTTCTGCCTTTCCAGTAATTTTCTCTGTTGAAATCTCTGTTATGGTTTTAGATCCAGTTGTAGTTATTTCAGTCTTTCTTTCTGTTGAAATTGTAGCTGTTGATTCAGTTGCGCTCTCTGTAAATGATGAAGATTCATTTGTTGCTGATACACGTGTCGTCTCTAGTGAGATTGTAGGTTCAGCTGTAATTGTTTCAATTGTACTCTCAGTCAAGACTTCATTAGTTGCAGCTGATGATTTAGCTGTCCTCTCTGTCGAGGTTGTAGGTTCAGTGGTAGATGTAGAATCAGTTACCCTTTTGGTCGATATTAAAAATTCAGTTGATACTGTTTCGGTTGAGATTATAGGTTTATTTGTAACTCTTGTCGCATCTATCGAGGTTGCAGGTTCAGCTGTAACTGCTTCAGTCGTACTTTCTGTCAAGTCAGTGGATTTAGTTGTAGGCCATGGTTTACTAGTCCTCTCTGTGGAGACTAAAGAAGATTCAGTAGGGAATGTAAGTTCGTCTGTTGATTTAGTTGTTCTCTCTGTATGTATATATATTGATATTGATATACATACGAAATATATATATACATATATTATACATACATATATATATATATATATATATATATATATATATATATATGTGTGTGTGTGTGTGTGTGTGTGTGTGTGTGTGTGTGTGTGTGTGTACATAGACATAATATAAACACACACACGTATATAGATAGATAATAAACAAATAGAGCTTCAGTACTTGTGTTACTATAAGTAATTTTCTACGATTTATCAATATTGATTTTAAGATTCTATATAATATAAAAAAGATAATTACTTTCTGCGTGCGTAGTTATCTCTTCTGTTGATATGGAAGGTACTGGTGTTACTGTCGACTCTGCAAATTCACTTGTTATTTCTCTCGATTCAGTTGTTTCCATTGACGCTGTAGATTCAGCTGTAAATGTAGATTCGCTAGTTGGTGGGTGTGTGGGTGTATGTACGGATGCATAGATACAGATTTAAAGTGAAAGAAAGAGTAGATGGATATAGATTTTTTAAAAGTACACGCACTATATTATTTGTGATGCTGTATGCAATTGCTAATGTAGTTGGATACTGGAACGAATATTACTTACTTTTTGCTTGTGTTGTAATTTCTATTGTCGATGTGTCTACTGATTCTATTGTTAATTCTGTTGTAGATGTTGATTCTGTTATAGCTACTGTTGATGCGGTTTCTGTTGTAGATACTGATTCAGTTGCATATGTTGATTCTGTTACATACGTTGATTCTGTTGTAGAAGTTGATTCTGCTATAGATGTTGATTCTGTTGTAGATGTTGATTCTGCTGTAGATGTTGATTCTGTTGCAGATGGTGATTCTGTTGTAGCTTCAGCTGTAGGTAAGCCTATTTTCTCTGTCGAACTTGATAGCCCGGGTGAACCTGTCGTTGAAGTCGTTCTTTCAGTCGACGCTTTGGTTTCAGTTGTAAATTTAGTAGATTCAGTTGTCCTCTCTGTCGAGTCTGTATGTTCAATTCCAGTTGTTGATTTTATTTTCTCCTTTGTTGCGGTCATGCGTTCATCAGCTGTAGATTCAGTTGTAGCTGTTGATTCAACAGTTTTTCCTGCTGAGCTTGTAGGTGAAATTATAGATGTCCCTTTTATCGAAGTTGTAGGTTCAGTTGTAATTATAGATTCAGTAGCCATCTCTGATGAGAGGGTATGGGCGGTTGTAGCCACGGATCCAGTTGTTCTCTCTGTTGGAGATATGTGTTCAGAGTTGCTTGTAGATTTAGTTACCCTGTCTGTCGAGGTTGTAGTTTCATGTGTAGTCGTTGACTCTGTTCTCTCACACACGCATACATACATGTATATGTGTGTGTGTATGTACACTACACGTATATACCTATATGTATACATACGTGTATATCTATAAATATATTTACATATATGTGTTAATTTGTGTATGAATGTGTATATATGTGTGTGTGTGTGTTTGCTGGAGTGTGTTTATGTAAGCACGTATAGATTCTCCTCCATATATCTGTATATCTATATGTATATATATATAAATATATATGTGCATATATAAATGTGTGTATCTATATATACATATATATTTGTGTATATATACATATACACACACACTTAGGTATTTATACTTACTGTAGCACTTAAAAAAAAGCAAAACTATTCAACATATCATCAAAATCGGTTAACAATAGTCGCCAAGATGCATGTTAATTACATTGTGATTAAGGCCGAACTGAAAATGTAATAAACCTGCATCCTGGTGCAACTGCCAACCTCTCATATATCAAAATTATTTTAATCTTTCACTTTATAGTATTTTTCAGTCATAACCATTGTAATGCTATGTTATACGTTCAATGTCAAATCTGTAAGTATACATAAATACTACTTAGAAAACCTCTGTCTCACCTGTTGCTGTAGAAGTGAATGGAGCTCCGGTTGACGTTGTTGCCGTTTCTTTAAATAGACAAGGAAATTATTTACATCACATTACCCAGTCTAGGTATTTGTTTATGTATACTTATATGCATACATGCATATGCACATATATATATATATATATATATATATATATATATATATATATATATATATATATATATATATAATATATTTGTACACATATATGCATGTGCCTGTGTCTTTGTGTGTAATGATGTGTCATATTGTCATATTGGTGGTAGCAGCTTCAATGAATTAACATAAATAAACTTACATATTTTGAAATATGGGTGTGTACCCAAATATATATATATATATACATATATAGGTGTGTGTGTGTGTGTGTGTGTTTGTGTATATAAATAATGTATATATATATACAATGTATATACATTCTCAATGAATGCAATATGTATAGAGAGAGATAGATACATACATATGTTCTACAGGTGTGTACATGTGTTGTGGTCCTTTTATGGAAGTGATGTTAATTAAAAGTGTGGATCGATCTGCTGTAAGATATTACGGTGTTTTAAAACTCCGAAAGAAGTTTTATTCATAACACATATTTGTCATGTATAAGTAAGGAAAACCTTTTTGAATGGTTTGTGGTATTTCAGAAAATTACCCTTGTTATGAATTCTTGAATAAAAGTATTGGTTTGACTTTCATATTATGACTAAAGAAAATAGCATGTACTTAACATGGAATTATTTGGCTCAAATTTAATTATATTGATGATAATTGACAGCTTGATTCATATGTCAAAAAATCATATTTCCTATAATGGCCAATCAAAAATGGCTGTCTATGCAAACGTATAATGAATTCCAATGGTTCCGTGTTTGAAGATTGTTGCCAAAAAATATTTGACTTTTTATACACATATCACTTGAAATAAGATACTGCGAATATCTCGCTTTCACTATTCGTTTGGTTATCTATCTGTTTAGATATATACTTTGACCATAATTACATTACAAACTTCTGTATTATGTAAGCGCAATTATTTTTCGTAAAAGAAGAATAAAGCATACATATGTATGTGTAACATACACGTGCGTATATATGTATATATATATCTATATATATATATATATATATATATATATATATATATATATATATATATATATATACATATATATATATACATATATATATACATATATATATATATATATATATATATATATATATATATATATATATATATATATACATATATACATATATATATAAACATATTTATATATATATATATATATATATATATATATATATATATATGTATATATATATATATACATATACATATATATATATATATATATATATATATATATATATATATATATATATATATATATATAAAGAGAGAGAGAGAGAGAGATTGATTAACGTTCTACAACTTATCGATGTCACATTTATGATATATAAACTACTTTCAGCTTGCGTAGTTATTTCTCCTGTTGATATTGCAGGTCCTTCTCCGCCAAAGTTGTAGGTTTAATAATTGTTGCAGATTTACATATTCTTCGGTTGAGTTTGAACTCTCGATTCATTTGTTTACGTTGACGCTGTACATGCCTTTTTTGTAACATTTCCGAATCAGAGCGCGATATTTTTCAGATAGGCATTTATATCTTCATTAATAAGGAATCGCATCATAAGTTTCTTGATTAAAGAGTTGCATAAAATGGTTTTTTACATGTTTAGCAGTACATCAAACACAAGTGTATGTGTAGATTTAAAATCAATCATGACTGTCGCTGGAACGACATTCTCAGAATTTCCGGTGTCCGATTCATATGATGTGGTATTGATTTCGGTGGGGTGAATGTCTTCAAAATCATAATGTACGTTTATAATATAATCTTACAGGCTCAAAAAAATTAAAGACAATGCCGTGTATCTCGCTTTGTTGATATAATTGAATCAATAAATCCAGTGAATATCCGTGATCAATGGAGTTACCTAGTTGTCTGACTTGGACACGAAGCTTCAAACCTTATGCAATTTTTTATATGAAGAACAATGTATGTATAAAGAAAAAAATATATTTTGAATGAATCTGAGAAATAACTTAAAGTTTCCACATCCTTATATGAATAATAAAAGTTGCAGAGTAATTTGGTTCTTTTTCAATTTTATTACAAGCCTCCACACAGCATATTACGTTTTTTCTAGATTTTTTTATGTGAAATAAATAAAGAGTAAATTTTCCTTTTCGCAAAACTTTGTATGTCACTACAAACTTCGATGCTATTGTGTTTTGTAGCGACCGTTATACAACATGAAACAATGTATAAAAGTGTTAGGGATTTCGAAATGCTAAAAAAAAAGGGCCTTACTGTATGTAATACCTAAGGTTGTTGGATACTGTAACGAATATTACTTACTTTTTGTTTGCGTAGTAATTTCTCCTGTCGACGTTATGTCTACCAGTTTTATTGTTAATTCGGTTGTAGATGTTGATTCTGTTGTAGATACTGATTCAGTTGTAGATATTGATTCTCTTGCAGATGTTGATTCTCTTGTAGATTGTGATTGTATAATAGACGTTGAGTCTGTTTTAGATGTTGATTTTGTTGATGTTGATACTGTTGTAGATGGTGATTCAGTCGTAGATTGTGATTCTGTTATAGGAGTTGATTCTGTTGTAGCTAATGATTCTGTTGTAGACGGTGATTTTGTTATATGTGTTGATTCTGCTGTAAATGTTGATTCTGTTATAAATGTTGACTCTGTTGTAAATGTTGAATCTATTGTAGATAGTGATTCTGTTATAGATGGCGATTCCGTTGTAGATGGTGATTCTATTGTAGATGGTGATTCTATTGTAGATGGTGATTCTATTGTAAATGTTGATTCTATTGTAGATGGTGA